CTAGGCACCATGTTAGATAGGGATATAATGGGGACATAATAGTCACAGGATACTTGTTCTGGTCTAGTTTATAATCCAGTCCAGGAATAGCCAAAGAAATGGAGTGATTGGGAATGGAGGGGGCAAGTCACACCTCTCTCCAGAAAGGTAGAAAGCAATTTATTTGTACATTTGCCTTCCCCATTACATTTACGGGTTTTTCTAGTGTAAGACATGGTTTTATCATCAGTATGTTATCAAAGGTCAGAGCAATGTCTAAAATGTGTAGCCTTCAACTCAGTGTTCACTGATTCATCTCCTCGTGTGGTATTAGGGATAGGGAAAGTGGTGCTGGCCCTAATGGTGACAGGGGAACTGCAGCTTCATGTGGATGTCATGTCGGACACCTGAGCCCCCCTCTTTCATTTATGCCAAAGTTTTCCTCCTTTCTGGTTCAAGCTTCACACCCTGGAAACATGCCCAGGTATCTAGTATCCTAAAAGTAAAGTCCTCACCTTCTCTTCAGAAGGAAGTTACTTTAAAGGGAACTAGTTCCTTTTTATTCTCCATTCACTCTTCAATGTACCAAAATTTATTTTTTCCCCTGCCTCTTATTTCCACTGAAAAGTATTTCATCAATGGCCTTCTATTTGCCAAACCCCTAGGCAGTGTTAGGCGCCATCCTTCATACCCTTTCTTGGCATTTCATTCCCATTCACGCCCCTTAAGTGTGCTAATATTCTCTACTTCTAATACTTCTGTGCTGATACCCTCTACTCTCTCTCTCTTTACCTTTAGTCTTTTTTTTTTTTTTTTTTTAGCTCCTCTTCACTGTCCCCCTCTTCCAGTATATAGGGCCTTTTACCCCTGTGATAACTCCTTCTGGTGTTTTTTTTTTTTTTTTTTTTTTTTAATGAGGGTCTTACCCATGCCTAGCATGTGCTCTGCCACTGATCTACACCCCCAGTCCCAACTGTTTAAATTCTAACCTATAGATGCTCTCTTGTGCTTAAGCTGTTATTACCTAATTTCTTAATAAGCATTTCCATTTCCCACAGGAATCTCAAACTCACTACAACCAAAATTATATCTTTTCTATCCCATATCTTGATGGATTTCTATATTTTTTATCTGGTTGTGCAGGTTACAAACCTTGTATACCCTTGTGATGTTGGAGAATGACTTTAGGAACCAGTTTAAATTTCATTTTCTCTGTAATACCTTCCATAATTAATGTAGGCAAAGAGCTAATGACTCCTTTTCTTCATGCAACCACTGTCCCTTATACATTGGAGTATTTTGACACATATGATTATCATTTGCATGTTTACCCTGTTCCTGGAAAGCAGGGACTGACTATCTTATCCATCATGGTACTTCCTGCCTATAGCAGCTCCTGCCATTAGTACATAGCCAAGAAACATAAACTTTAATCCTAATACCAGCATCTATGAGCAATTGTCATGGTTAATATATCATAGGAGGTTGTTTAGATAATAGATTTATCTTTTTCCTATTTGCAGAAATGGAAGAATTTAAAAATATTTTTTTCTATTATCTTGGGGTGGTGAGGATCCAAGGTAACGTAGAATACTTCTAGTATGTTTTAAAGATATTTACTTCAAATATTGTTTAATCCTTTAAAGGATGATAAGAATATGAAATGAAATCTCATATAGTATGCTAGCAAGTCTAGAGTCACTTCTAGTTTAACGTACTTGACTAAAAACATATAAGATCATCTGTGATAAAATGTGCATTTATTTAGAAATGTAGATTTTTAAAATTTTCAATAACTTACACTTGCCTATTATAAAGAAATGCCTTTAAAATAAATAAACAAACCAACCATCTGTCCAGGGCAAACAAACAAAAAATGCCATTATGTTGTGGGAAATTTAGAAAATTATATTAAAAAAAAAAAAAAAAGGCTTTTGGGGCTGGGGATGTGGCCCAGTGGTAGAGTACTTGCCTACTGTGTGCCAAGCCTTGGGGGCCATCCATGGCATTACAAAGGGAGAAAGAAAAGGCCCTTATTATCACTCATAATTTCACCACAAGGAGTAGCCACAGTTGTCCTATTCTTATTCTGAATGTTTAGGGTACATATAGAGATTATATGATACCACATATCTCTACTACAAATGGAATCTTGTTTGATTTAACAATATATTGCAATTTCATAGTTTTAGAAAGTTTATGACACTTAATGTTTTTATATTCAGTTATGTGAATGAACCTTTATTGATGAACCTTATATATATAATGCTACAATTAATGTAAGTATTGTTAAAAATTCAAATTGATTAGTCAAATGTTATTTTAATAAGTGTACACATTAATGAATGCAAAGGGGATTATTTATAAAAGCCGATTAGCATATGGTTGCTGATAGAAGTCTCTCAGGAAGCCAGGTGTGGTGGTGCAGGCCTGTAATTCCAGGGGCTCAGGAGAGGCGGAGGATTGCGAGTTCCAAGCCAGCCTCAGCAATTTAGCAGGGAACTCAGCACCTTAGCAAGCCCCTGTCTCAAAATAAAAAGGGATGGGGATGTGGCTCCGTGGTAAAGCACCACTGGGTTCAATCCTTGGTACCAAAAAAAAAAAACTTTCACAGGAAAATTTACTTTGAAAATAGGTTTTGGTCGAGAGTCTGCTTTGTCTGCCCAGAGATTTTGTGGAGCTTTTTCAAAGGAAGTCAATGAACAGGCCTTGCCCAGTGTGGTTATTTATTAGGGTTGTAGTAGGGGACAGGTCATGGCCTCTGGTTGGCAGGAATTTGTAAGGAAAGTAGGCTGCTTCTGAGCATAGAGGCCAACCCCTAGTTCTCAGGTACAGGTGGAACAGAGCCTTTCTGAGGGGTGGAATGAAAATTCTTGGCAGCAAAATGTGGAAAACCTGTAATTTTGCATGTGATCCACACAGCAAGTATGGATAAGATCTAGGCCAGCACCCAGCTACATTTCAATATTTCATTTTACTTTATTAATTTCCTGTGTCTCATGTCTTCTGCTTCCTTGGTTTGTGAATTTTGGGCCATATCCTCCATTAGTTTCCTAAAAAATTGGGAAATGAGAAGTAAATTTTGTTCTTTTTCATGGAAACTTGTAGAATCTTGTTTATCATAATAGTTCTAAAATTTCATGATGCTGTGCTTTAATGGGCTTTCTTTTGTCTGTAGACCAGAAATTGTCCAGAAGTTTTGGGTTCTCAGTAGGTTCTACATTGTTGTAAATTTATCTGAATTATTTTGTCCTGCTGATTTCTGTATTTTCTTTTTCTTAAACTTCTGTCATTTGGTTGTTCCACCACCTCAACTAATCCTCTTGATTCTCTTATATTTTCTTCTCTATTTTCTCAACAGCTATATTTTGTAGGAGGTATTCTCACGCTTATTTTTCAATTCTTTTGCTGAGCTTTTATTTTCACTATTTTTAATTAACAGTGTTTTTTTCCCTATAATTTTAAGAATTTTTTGGTATTACAGGATTTTCAACTTTTAGCTTTTTCCTCTGAATAATTTGTCTTCTCTAGGTTGCTTTTCTTCCTGTTTTTGTTTGGTTATAGTCTCTTTCTTTAGGTTTTTGAGACTTTATTCAGTTATCTTGACCTTGGTCATGGGCCCTTATCTAAGAGTGGGGAACTAGAAAACTGATTGGAAACTTAGGAAGCAGGGGGGGTCCATTTATTTAATCTTGAGATAGGGTTTTGCTAAGTTGCTTATGACCTCATTAAGTTGCTGAGGCTCACTTTGAACTTGGGATCCTTCTGCTACAGCTTCCCCAGCTGCTGGGATTACAGCTGTGCACCACAGTGACTGGCCATTAGGTGGGCCCTTCACCTTCAGGTTCATTTGGTGTGGACATTTGCTGGGAGCTCCTGCTGTCTTTCTCCTTGAAATGTATTTTCTTTTAGGGACTATAATTGAAGTCTCCTCATGGAGAGAAGTGCTTGACTTGCCAGCACTAGAAACGTTGGGGGTACTGCTGTTATCTCTGCATGGGCTATTATTTTCTGAAATTATGCCTTCAATATTTGTTATCCATCCTCTATCCTAGAGGCCTTCTCTTTTAGCCTCTGCAGGAGATTTTTTTCTGACCAGTTCTCTGGTGTTGGACATGGATTGTTTCTAACTTTTCACAAGAGTAAGTAATTCGGTCTTTATGAATATGCTTATAAGATAATCTGGTGTGTTTTTGTAGGATAGATCCCTAGAAATAGTTGTCCATACAGAGTAAGTAGGGTATGTGCATTTTGAAGTTTATTGATATCACTAAATTGTTGTCTCTCCCTATAACATGAAAAATTTTATGAATTTCTATTCATCTTAGCAGTTCATAGACATGCACATTTTCTGTCCATGCCAGTATTGGCTATTTTAATCTTTTCTTTTTTTTTTACTTTTGCTAATCTGGTGGGCGATAAATACCATTTGTGTTTATCTGTATTTATTTGATTTATTCTGGAAATTGCTGTTCATAAGATTTGCTCATTCTGATATGTTTTAAATTTGGTTGTGGGTCTGTGTTTAGTTTGGGGCTTGGTAAGAAAATAGAAAAAAAATTTAAATTTAAGTGTGTTCATTCCAGAGTCCTTATTTATATTTTTACTATTCATTTTTTCACAGTTTTTAAGTATTAATTTATACTACATCACAATGTTTCTATGTGATTAGTCATATTTTAATTGTATATCTGGTTATTGATGCAGTAATAATAACTATTTATATAATATTACATATCTGACAAAATACTTTTGTATGTATAATGTTATAACAGTTCATGAGGTTGGTTGAATTTTGCAGATGAGGAAACTAAGGCTTTGAGAAGTTAAGAAACTTGCCCAAATGTGTATGTATTTCTTTATAATAATACAAAAGGCCAGGTTGTGGCCCTGCAGCACAATTCATTGTGTCTGTTATTAGTGGCAAATAAGGATGATTCTTTCCCTTTTCTGTATTAGCAGGTAAATCCCCAAACTAATTATGTTCTTAGATAATAGCAATGTTATTTTTTTTTAACTAGAAATGAACACAGAAACAGAACAACAGCTTCTCCACCATGCCAGAAATGGCAACACTGAAGAAGTAAGAAGGCTGTTAGAAACCGTGAAGAGGAAAGAAGTAATTGCTGACATTAACTGCAAAGGTGAGCTTTCACTGGATTTCATAGTTTTCTCTTGAGAATCCACACAACTCTATCATATACTTAACACTGATCTTATCTTTGGAAGAATCCCCACAAAATTGGGTGAAATGTATTCCCACTCCCCTCTAAGCTAGATCCATTCTTAAAATATTTATGGATCCTAAACCTTATAGGCTCCAAAGTTGAGCCCATGTCATGCATTGTCTGATAATTGTTTTTCTTCTTGAAGATACTTTAAGTTGAGCCAATAGGTCTGAATGATTTTTGTTTGTCCAGCATGTAAGATATTTTGGAGATAGTCATGCAGAAATAGATGAGATCCCCGCCCTCACTGAGATTGTTCTATTAAATCAATAAATCAGACTGTTTACATTACAGAATATTGGCAGTATATGTAAGTGTGGGTACTTTGGGGCCTCAGAAGAGAGGTAGTAACTTGAACTTCAAAGATTAGCTTCTTAGAGTAAGTGGTTCTAAGAGTGTGTAGGAATTACACCAGGTGAATTCAAAGAAGTAAAAGGATTCAAGACAAAAGAAACAGCATGAGCCAAAGTATGAGTTGAGAGATTGCATATGCAAGAGCTCACAGCAGGTAGAGGGGAGGATAAAACTATTTGGGTAAGTAGCAGCCAAATCATAATGTACATTTTATAGCAAGGTTGCAAATACATTATAGCCTTGCACTCAGAGGTGGAGAAAAATAGAATTTATTCTCTAAAATGGTTTAGCATTTTAATAAACCCCTTTACATTTTGGGAGCAAGGTAGATGGACTAAAAGTTAAATTTGGGGTACTTCAGTCTTAGTCCTTTTGATGAACACCTGTTTCCCCCTCCCCACTGGCTCCCCTAAATTGGCTTTTAAAGTGTAAAGGTGGGCCTTGCTTTGTTTGTGCAGTGGAGACAGATGTCTTCAAATCCGTGAGGTAGCCTTTGGTTCTGTAGTGACCCTTGTTTTCTTAGTGCTCCTTAAGCATTTGTAGCTGAAGTAAAGCTTAGCTATAAAGCTAAACTTGGATCTCTCCATTTGTCATATGATACAGGTGGTACTCCTTGTCTCTTAGGAGACTTACCTGGGTCATTGTTGACTTTATGTCACCTGAGCCACCTTTTGTCACATCTTTATTGTATTCAGCTCAGCCACACTCCTTGTATTAGTCAAGCCTCTTCAAAGAAACAGAACCAATAGAATATGTGTAATTATAAGAGGGGATTTATTAGGTTGGCTTACATGATCAGAGGCTGAATAGTCTCACAATGGCTGTCTGCAGACTGGAGGATCAGGAAATAGTAGCTGCTCAGTCCAAGAAGCTGAAAGCCTCAATATGAGAGAGAGAGAGAGAGACACACACACACACACACACCAGTGATTCAACCTGAGTCCAAGACTTAAGTAAGGCCTGAAAGCCTCCTGGAGAGCTGTTGGTGCAAGTCCAAGGCTGAAGAATCTGCCCTATCATGGACCAGCTAAAGAAGGATTGTATTCTCAAGAGCTTCCCTTTTTCCTTAAAAAAAAAATATATATATATATATATATATATATATATATATACACATGCTAGGCGAGCACTCTACCACTGAGCCACAACCCCAGTCTCCCCTTCTTCTTTCTTCTCCTGTTTCTTCATTTCATCTGGGCCTGCAGTTATTGGATGGTATCACACAGGTTCAGGGCAGGTCTTCCCCATTCAGTTCACTGATCCACAAGCCAATCTTCTCTGGAAACACCTCCACAGACCCATCCAACCAATCCATAAGTTTTATGGGTTGTCTAGGCATCCTTCAGTTTACTCAGGTTGAAAACAAAAATTAATGTGCTGTTGTGCTTTTAGTCCTCTCTTGGGAAAGTGTCATGTGGTAATGTATTGAAATGTGGCAGCCTAGGGTAGCTTTGCGTAGTTAAAAGTTAGCCTTCCCTCTCCATGCATTACAGAGATTGCTTTGACATGGCCATCTTGCAGGTGGGTGCTAAGATAGGTAACATGCTCGTGATCTTTTCATTGTACCTCAGATACAGCTAGCTTGTTCTCAGCATCTTCTCAGATTATCTCACATCCTGCTTATTTTATCATCTCCTTCTACGGCTAGTTCCTGTCCCAGGAAGGGCTGTCTTAAGATGGATTTATGGATGTTTTACTCCTTTTTCACACACTCTCCTCATGTCCTAGAGCAGCAAACCTCCTCCTGGCTTCACCCTCAGCTGGGAAGAAACCATGATCTGAATTGCTTAGAAACTGTAGTCTGAGTTGGCCAAAGTAATTTAAAAATTTCTCTGCATCCTTCTACAAAAACTGACTCTCAATCTTTACTGTAGGGTTTTTTTGTTTGTTTGTTTGTTTTGTTTTTTTGAGATGGAGTCTCCCTAACTTGCCTAGGCTGGCTTCAAAACTCAAGATCCTCCCTAGAAGCTGAGATTACAGGCATGCACCATGAACCCAGCTAATTTTTAATGCTAAAAATGTTTAAAAATCCTCAATGACCCTTTTCTATCTACCCTCTTCCCCTATCCATAGTTGCCTCAGGCTAATTAGTGGAAAACCATCTACTTAGGTAAAACTGAGAGATTTATGTTAATGGTTTTTTCAAAATTTCATCTCATTATACCTGTCAGTCAGCCTTTGTCTTAAGGGCAGTTTGAGGGGTTTATGTAGAGGAGTAACAATCAGATGATGTGCAGTTCTTTACTAAAGGGAATGGGTAAGTCTGCATGTAAGTAGTGTTTCCCTGTGGGAATTCCTTTCTAGCATTTCTTGATTTTTTTTTTACTTATATAAACAAATCCTAAGATATAAGGAAATGATGCAAATTAATATATTCCATTAGAATGAAAGCTTAACAATCAATTTACAGATGATACTATTGGAAGGAATCTACTGAGCTTAAGTTGAAAGTGAGAGAATGAAACCTTGACAGGCAGAATTGAAGGTTAAGGTGAACATATCTAGGGTCTGGGTTAGAAGATCTAACTAGTCTTACTTATAGCTACTGCCTTATTATAAGCATGTGCTCATGGTTCTGTCTTTTGCTAATATGAGTCAGTCTTGTAAATAAAAATATTTATATTTGTGTACATTATATACTTCATATAAATGAGTGGCATTTCAAGAAATAAGTTTGGGAAAAAGAACTTACATTGGCTGTCTCAACACATGCTTCTGAGAAGTGCTATCATTTTTCTAGGAGCTCCAGATGGGAAGTAATTTGAATATTACCCTATCATATCTGCTGATGTTTTCCAGCATTTTAATATTCTATAAAGGGTTCTATTATTTGTAGGTAATTCTTGATCATTGAATGTTTTAAAATACTATGATAACTAATTATAGAAAATATTTGAAGTATTTTCAGAATTATTTACAATTTTGGAAACTGATTTTTTTGGATATAGAATCCCACTTGGAAACACTAGATGTGAAGAGACCAGTTCAGAGGCTGTTTTAGTAAAATAGAGGATCTAACTGTGAGTAGATGGGACAGATGCAATGAATGGAGGTAATGGAGGAAAGTATATGTGATGTCGTAATATTTAGGATGTAGAATTGAAAGAACTAATTGAATGTGGGGTATGAAAAGGAGAAAGCAGCCAAGGGTGATGCTGGTATCTGCCATGAAAAATTAGGTAAATAATAGGGCAGACAGTTGTGAAAATAAGTGAGAAGGGGAATGGGTAGTGTTTGTGTGTAAATGTGAATACATGGAATGAAGGACAAGCTCAGCTTTGTATTTCCTGAGCTTGAGGCACCTTTGCATCATCCACATAGAAGGTGTCTGAGACTTGGAAGTGGAAATCTGTTTTTAAATCAACAGTATATAAACAATGTAGTTGGAGAGGGCCAGTAAATACCACTTTTGATATTACCAATAATGAACTCATTAGAGACAAATAGTTTCCCACTTGGAGGAAATTCCAGAATTGTGAGACCAGAGAATGCAGGGCTATAGCAGCCAGGGAGGACGATCATCCTCTTTGATACTAGACTGTGATGCAGCAAAGTGGCAGATGAAAAGAGCCCCTGTGATTTGTTGTCAATATTTTAAATAAAAGTTGAGGATAGATTAAATGACGTGGTGGGAGATGAACATATTCTTCAGTGGATGGGTACTTGATTGGAAGGAATGAAGTGAAAAAAGCAAGTAAAAATGGGAAGGAAGAGTGAGGAGGAGGAGGAGGATGATTGGTAGTGAGCATGGGGTTAGAGAAGGTTTGTTTTTGCTTGTTAGAGGGGAGAGACTACTTACTTGCTCCTTCCTATGAGCAACTAAAGAGGAAAAGGTTAAAAATAGGGGTGGGGTGGGGAAAATACTTGAGAAGCAGGAAGGGATGGGATCCAGAAAGAATGATTGGTCTTTAACATCAGGAAGGAAAGATGGTAGAATATGTGAAATAGAGGTAGGACAGTAGCTTTATTTCTGGGAAGCCCAAAAAGTTCTATGAAAGTTTCTATTTTTATTGTTAAACTGAAAGATGATGTTACTGCTAAGGGTTGAGATGCCTGCAAAAGGAGCTTGAGGAGAATAGTAATAGATTGAAATACTTGTTATGGAATGTAGGAGAGACATCTGAAGAGGTCATTAGAAGGTTTGCCTAGCCAAAGTGTGGAATCTTGACTTAATGGTGTCAAAATCAATAGGGTTTTATTATTTTTCTTTACTCTGGGTGAGAAACCTGGATGGGGTTCTAGAGAAACTGAGCTATTATGTTTATCTTATTTTGTGTTTTTTTTTTCTAGGCTGCTATGACAAAGATAGTGAAGCAAGGATATTGATTAAAAAAGTATTGCCAGGCCATGGTGGGGCCTGCCTATAAACCCAGCTACTTGGGAATCTGAGGCAGGAGAATCACAAGTTTAAGGCCAACCTAAGCAACTTAGCAAGACCCTGTCTCAAAATTAAAAATGGGCTGGGGATATAATTCAGTGGTAGAGTGCCCGTGAGTTTAATGCCCAAAACTGGAAATAAAATAAGTTGCTCGGCACAGTGGCACATACCTGTAATTCTAATATGTGGGAGGCTGAGGCAGGAGGATCACAAATTGAGATAAAACCATTCTTGTCTTGAAATAAAATAAATGAAGGACTGAGTATGTAGCTTAGTGATAGTGCACTTGCTTAAGCACATGCAAGGCACTGGGTGGAAAGACAGACGATTCTCAGTACTGGGAAAAAAAAAAGTTGACATAGAGGGCCAAGGAATACATACCAGATTTATTGAAGTCGATATTGGGGCTATTTACATGAATGAAAAATAATTAAAGAGCGAGGGACTGATTAAATAGAAGAATAAGAGAACTAGTATGAGGGTATACCTGTGAGGAAGCTGGCAGGTGGGGTGTTTGTGTTCATCAGGGTGTCCAAGTTTTGGCTTTGGCAATGGGTATGTGACATTGAGCAGCAATGGTTTGTGAGAAATGAGGGAAACTGAGTAGTCAGCATACTTGAATGGGCAGTAAGTACCCCAAGATGGCGTCAGGATTGATGGTAAGGAGAGAGACTGCTGTTATGTGGTTAGGGGTGAGTCACTAGAAGGCTGGCAGGTGGTGGCCTCAGAGTACACATTTGAGGGAACTATGGCTCAGAGGGCTTGCAACGTGAGTGGAAAAGTCATTGACCAAAGACACCAGTGGGTTTATTTTTTTTTTTGAGAGAGAGAGAGAATTTTTTTTTAATATTTATTTTTCAGTTTTCGGTGGACACAACATCTTTATTTTATTTTTATGTGGTTCAATAGACTTAAAAATAAGAACCATATGATCATCTCGATAGATGCGGAAAAAGCATTCGACAAAGTACAGCATCCCTTTATGTTCAAAACTCTAGAAAAACTAGGGATAACAGGAACATACCTCAATATTGTAAAAGCAATGTATGCTAAGCCTCAGGCTAGCATCATTCTGAATGGAGAAAAACTGAAGGCATTCCCTCTAAAATCTGGAACAAGACAGGGATTCCCTCTCTCACCACTTCTGTTCAACATAGTTCTCGAAACACTGGCCAGAGCAATTAGACAGACGAAAGAAATTAAAGGCACAAAAATAGGAAAAGAAGAACTTAAATTATCACTGTTTGCAGATGACATGATTCTATACCTAGCAGACCCAAAAGGGTCTACAAAAAAACTATTAGAGCTAATAAATGAATTCAGCAAAGTGGCAGGCTATAAAATCAGCAGTGGGTTTTTGATGTGGAGGTTTACATGACTTCTCTTCAATGAAATAAGTAGGTGAGTGGGAGTCTCCATCTGAAGAATAAAGGGAGATTATTATTATCAGGAAGAGTTAGGCTTTATTTACAAATAGAAAGCAAAAGAAATGTTCATTGAACTACACTGAGGCTCTGGGATTTATTGACTGTGTAATTATATGTTCCATGGGGCACACATGTAAGAGGAAACAGATGGAGCAGTTTGGGTAAATGGCAGACACTCACAGGCACACTGATGGCAGCTCCAGTCCCGATGCCTCTGTGTGTATGTGGTGGGTGGGCATGTGTTTGAGGCCTGATGTGGTACTCTGAGGTTGGTAACTGAAGATTCTGCTGGTTCAGAACCTGATGTCCAGGATCTGAGAGTGTGTGTAATGCAGGTGAGGTTCTATAATCCCCTTTAACCATTAAACCACAGGCTTCTCCTTGGGAGTAATCCCCTGGGAGCAGTAGGCTCTTGGGCTGTGATGGACCCTCCAGGGTGGGTAGGCTTTGGGAGTTTGATCAGGCTATAGTCTCTGCAACCTGATTTAAATTCTACTAAGCTTTTGGAGCTATCTCAGCTCTATGCTGTAGAACCTTTATCTTTTCTTTTCCCTAAATTGATTTTTATAGCTTTAGTTTTTTCAGCATACCTCTCTTCAGCTCCACTGCTAGAATCTGACATTTCATTGCTTTTAACTTTGATTCTGGCTATCTTGTTGGACTTTAGCACTCTGGTAACCCAATATCCTCATTACCTGAGATTTTTATCTGAAGTCAGAGAGCTAACAGTGTTCCACATGCTGCAGGAAATACTCTACTGATTCCACTGCCTTTGGCTCCTCTGTCTACTCTCCTTAAGTGGTACGGTTTTTTGTCTTTTTGGTTTTTTTTTTGAAGAGAGAGAGAGAGAGAGAATTTTTTTTTAATATTTATTTTTTTAGTTTTCGGTGGACACAACATCTTTGTTTGTATGTGGTGCTGAGGATCGAACCCGGGCCGCACGCATGCCAGGCAAGCGAGCTACCGATTGAGCCACATCCCCAGCCCAGTGGTACGGGTTTTCAAATAGAGTTGCTTGTTGTGAAATGTTATGATAAGGGAACCAAGTCTTTGCTAGATGATGACAAGATAAAGACTCAACTCCAGATCCAGCAAACTTTACGGATCATGAAGTTCATGTAAGCCCATTGTGTCTCCCAGAGTACCCTTTGAGGATGAGGCTTGTGTTAGTCTGTCACTGTGACAGAGTGCCTGAGATGAACAGCCTAAAAAGAGGAAAGATTCATTTTGGCTCATAGTTTCAGAGATTTTGGTCTACAGTCACTTGGCTCTGTTGTTTCTGGGCTTGTGAGGAGGCAGAGACTGTCATGGCAGGAGCATCTGGAAGAGCAAAGCTGCTTATCTCCTGGTGGCCAGGAAGGGAAGAGAAAGAGCTCACTTTTATAACAAAGCCCTTCCCCAAAACTGATTAAGCTATGAATCTATAAGTGGATTAATCCATTCGTGATGTCAGAGCCCTCATGACCCAATCACCTTCCAAAGGCTCACCTCTGAGTATTGCTGCACTAGGGACCAATCCTTCAGTGAGCTTTTGGAGGACATTAGAGATCGAAACCATAAGAAGGATGCCAAGTCAAAAAGATGGCACCCATCTGGATCATGTGAGTTCTAGTCTTTGCATTCTCTTGGCAGAAATTCAGTTTGTTATAAAACTACATAAATAACATCTAAAAAAAAAATCTTTTTCCATTTTTAGGAAGAAGTAAGTCTAACTTGGGCTGGACACCTCTTCATCTGGCATGCTATTTTGGACATAGACAAGTGGTCCAGGATCTGTTGAAGGTCTATTTATGGCTTTAATTTTTTAATGACTATAATGAATAATTATTATGGAAATTATAGGATAGAAATCTTAGAAAAGCCAACTGAACCATAATAGTTTATTAAAGCAATAGCTCATCATTAAAAGACACTTAATTTTCTTTACTAAAAACATGAATTAGGTTAGCTTGATTAATTAAAATTCTGTGATTTTAATAATTTGGTTTTTACATTATTGGCTTTTTAAAGTGGCAAAGCAGGCATATTAATTAATGAAGATATAATTTTCAGTTTTACAAGCATGACAAGTTGAAAAAATAACCAAAGTGCATCCCACATTAAAAAATAATGTCAAAATCTCTTAGCACTGTACTTAATGAGATTTGAGACCTCATATTTCTCAATTCTCTGAACAATTTTTCACATATGAATGTTTTTGAAATTAGGTTGTATCTTATTCTGTACATTTAATGGGGGCATTTTTTTTTTTAAATTTGAAAACTTATTACCTTATGGTGGAGGAAATAGTACTGTATTTGGAGATAGTTTTCCTTTGTTCAGTATGGCTGCGTCTAAAGTTGAGTGACGATGTATTGATTTTTAAAGAAAATCCCTTTTTGTTCTACTTATCTGTTAGACTTTTACCATTCAGGAAACTTACTATTTATTTTTACTATGAATTGAATTTAGTTTTAGTAGTGACAACCAAACAATATTAGCAATTATTCTAATTTTGAAATATTTAATTATTTCTAAAAATTAATTCTACTTTTTTCTATTTCTTGATATGTAAGATGTACTAAAGTTTTCATGTTTATTAGGCTGGTGCAGAAGTGAATGTGTTGAACGACATGGGAGACACACCACTTCACCGAGCTGCGTTTACAGGACGAAAGGTGAAAAACATTCTAATTTCAGTGTTTACAAGTGAAATATTTGGTAGAGCAGTCACCACTATTTTCTCTGTTATAACCATCTTCTCAGCAACTGGAAAAAGCCATGAGAAAATGTATAAGCCAAATATATTGGGCAAAGGTGTACAAACTCTTGAGTTGGACAATGAGGTCAAATGCCAAGGTCATTAGACCCCTATACCATCCTTGATAGAAGGTTGCTCAGCCTCTGCTTGTGTTCCCAGCAATGGGGAACTCCTGATTGTTCTTTTGTGGAAAAATAGCTTCATCAAAGTATAATTTACATTGCATAAAATTCTATATTATAAGTGTACATTTGAATGTTTTATAGTACATTGCACAGCTATATAAATCATCACCATGATCAATTACAGAGCATTCATTAGTTTTGTCTCTAGATATATTTGCCTTTCCTCAAGATTTCTTACAAATGAAATCATGAACTTGTGTCTGGCTTCTATAATTGGGCATAATGTGGTTGAGTCTTGTAATACTGTAGCATGTGTCAATAGTTTATCCCTCTTTATGAATGATATTCCATTGAATAGATACACATTTTGTTATCTGTTTACCATTTATTGAAAGGACCATCTTTTTACTTTGATGAAAATCAATTGATCATAAATATAAGGTTTTATTTCTGCATTTACTATTCTTTTCCTTGATCTATATGTGTATCCTAACATCAATTTATTGCAGTAGCTTTATAATTATTTTGATATAATAATCAAATGGTATAAATTCTCCAGCTATAGTCTTGTTTTTAAAAATTATTTTGAGTTTCAGTACTTTATATTTTCATATATATTTTAGAATTGTCAATTTCTATAAAAATGTCTACTGGAATTTTAATAGAGGTTATTTTTTTGAATCTATAGGTTGGTTTGGGAAGATTTGCCATTTTAACAATTTTGACTCTTCCAGTCTATGGACCTGAAATTCATCTTCATTTATTTTTAGGTCTTTAATTTCTCTCAGCATTTTAACATTTAGAATATTTCTATCCTCAGAAAGAATCTTTGTTAGCATAAAGATCTTTCACTGCTTTTGTTAAAAATTGACCTGACCTTAATCGGTAGAATTTGGAATGCATCTGGCCTGCTGATGTCTCTGCTCAGTTAATGTTAGCATAGTTTTCCAGCACCCTTGCATCTACATAGCTTAGTGGTTAGTCGGTGTTTGGGTAGCAGTGGTCTCAAATGCTCAGTCCCATAGGTCACTTATACTTTCTACCTGTGGACCTGTGTTTAAGCTGGAGAGTGTTTTCAGAGTGAAGGCATTTTTCTTTTCTGCCTCTGCTCTAAATTTCTGAAGTGCGCTCTCTTGTTTTTCCTGATCATGAGTGATGTTTCTAGAAGCTGAGGGTGTGGATCTAACCTACTCCTTCTCTGGTTCTTTCATTTCTAAGGACTTCCTGTTAGATAATCAGGCTATTTTGCCATTTGCCCTATATAGGAGGCAGAGTAATGGTCCCCAAAGGTGTTCATATCTTGATCTCTGAGATTTGTGAATATGTTCAGTTATGTGGTAAGGGGAAATTAAAGTTGCAGATCAAGATTGCTGATTGACTGATCATAAGATAGGAAAATTATTGTGGGTTATTTAGTATAATCACAGAAATTCTTACAAGTGTGAGAGGGAAGCAGAAAAGGAGTCAGAGATGTAGCTAGTTTGATGCAGTGTTTCAGGCTTGGGAATTGTGGAGAAAGGGGCTATGAATCAAGAATGCTGATGGCCACTAGAAGATGGAAAAGCAAGGAAACAGATCCCCCCACAGAGCTGGTCCTGTAATACCTTGATTTTATCTGATGAGCACCATTTCAGATTTTTTAAATACAGAATTATGGATAATAAATTCCTGTTGTTTTAAGCCACAAAGTTTGTGGTAGTTTTTTACAATAGAATCGTATGCAGTCTAATGGGAAAAGCAACCCATGCTATCAGTTATTAAGATTTTCCCATTTGTTTCCAATGGCGTCTGCTACTTTTACTCTTAATGTCTCTTGGTGTAGGTTTTGCCTTTTGTTCCAAGTCAAGTCAGTTCCATCTGGCCGGAAAGCTACTGGCTGTAACTGCTCTCCCTTCTCTGGCAAACATCTTTGGGCAAGTGGGGAAAGGGTTAACTGCATGTGGCTAGAAGGCTAATGACTCCTGGTGTTCTAACTTGAGTTCTAGCAGTTCCTGTAGAATAACTGCTTTTCTTGATTTATAGTTTCTTTTAGTGGATATCTAGCACTATGGATATGGTTAGTTTTGATAATTTTGCCTTTTTTTTATACTCATTCTTTAGAATAACAGTCTTCTGGGCTGTAAATGCCACCACAACCAAAAGTTGTTTCACTCCATTTTTGTGATTTTTCTGATAATTTAAATGATGTAGTAAATTAAGTATGACATAGTGTATTTGTTTACTTTGATAATTGACTACTGTCCAACATGATCCCTAAAGATCACTTATTCATTTCTGATATCAGGTATTGAACCCAGGGGCACTTAACCACTGAGTTACATCCCCAGCCATTTTTATTTTTTATTTTGAGACAGGGTCTCTGCTTTAGTCAATTTTTCATTGCTGTGACCACAGAGAGCTGTTCTGTTTTGAGGGGCTCAAGGACAGGCAGAACATCATGGTGGAAGAGTGTGGTGGAGGAAAGTGGCTCAGGACATGATGATCAGAAAGCAGAGAGAGCATCCTCACAGACAAAATATAAACCACAGGGTCACACCCCCAATGACCCACTTCCTCTAGCTACATGCTACCTGCTTACAGTCACCACCCAGTTAATCCCTATTGGGATTAATTCACTGAGGAGGTTAAGATGCTTATAACTCAATCAATTCACCTCTAAACGCTTTGCATTGTCTCACACATGAGATTTTGGGGGACACAGCTAAACCATAACAGTCTTGCTAAGTTACTTAGGGGCTTCCTAAGTTGCTGAATCTGTCTTTAAACTTGCCATCCTCTTGCCTCAGCCTCCCAAATTGCTGGGATTACAGGAATGTGCCACTGCACCCAGTTTAAGTATCTTTGAATTAGTAAATTTCACACCATTCTGGCCTATTCATAAGTTGATACTTATGAATCAGAAAACAGTCTTACTAAAGTTGAGAAAAATAGTACTTTTTATAGTAAAACAATTAATAATAAACATAGGTTAATTGCTATGCTGAACTCAGGTTTCAAAAGTGAACTGCAAATTAACTTGCATGACCCATATGTGAACCACTTGCCGTTTCCCTTAAGAGTCTTGAATTTCTCATCTTTTTCTGTGGACTGCAGAATGTTCTATTGCCATCTATTTTTCACACATACCCATACTTGAAAGTATAGCCCAAACATAATCACCATAAAATTTTTCTGACTTCTTGCAGTTGGATGGCAGCTGTGCTTTTCCAGTTTTCCTGGACACATTTTATAATATTTTCAGTCATCTTATACCTTGTTATTAGAGTTACTGTTCTGTATGTCTTAGCTTTCCTACTAGGTTGAGTATAATCTTGTTCTCAAGGATTTAATACAGTTCATTTTGTGTCTTCACTGCAAGTAACAGATTTTACTGCCCATCTCTGTTCTTAAGTAAATCAAAATCAATTCATTATAAATACTTGGCTCTTCACATATTGGGCCATTTCTTCTACTCTGCTACTTTGAACATGAAATCATATAAATTGAGCCTTAGTTGCGCTGGGGTTGTAGCTCAGAAGTAGAGCGCTCGCCTAGCATGCGTGAGGCACTGGGTTCAATCCTCAGCACCACATAAAGTAAAATAAAGACATTGTATCTATCTTTAACTAAAAAATAAATAATTAAATTGGGCCTTAGTTTTGTTAGTATGTATTTTGTTATCTGTTGTATCCAAAGATAATATTCAGCTGAAATTAAATGGTTGCATCATATAAAAATGCTTAAAAATTTATGTGCTTAATGATTAAGCATGATTGGCTGGGTATAGTGGCTCAGACCTGAAATCACACCTACTTGAGAGGCTAAGGCAGCAGAATTGCAAGTTCAAAGCCAGTTTCAGCAACTTATCAAGACACTGTTTCAAAATAAAGAGAAAGAACTGGTTATGTAGCTTAGTGGTAAAGGGCCCTAGGCTCAGTCCCCAGTGCCACAAAAAAAAAAAAAAAAAAAAGGACGAAAAGTTACTTTCTGACTGTACTTGGGGAAGGAATCAAATTTTCTTGTGGTAATATAATCTTATTATCTTGAGATTTGTTGATTTAATAAATATATCATTGAATTGAAAAGGGATTTTGTTTATTACAAAGCATTTTAAATTCTTATCCTCTGGATTATATAAAATATAGCTCCCCAAATTTTATGAGGGAATGGTCGACTTTTCTTGGTACATTAGCGACCCCTGCTGTTCACTGTTAAAAGTTAATATATCAAAAAATTTAAACGTTTAATTTAGCTTTATTTTTCGCTCAGTTAGAATTCTGAAGTTTTTAATGGCTTTTAAAATAAGTTTCAAATGGGAATAAAATCATTATAGCAAATATTTGGATTGTAGCACTGAAAATTATTTATTTTTGAATGGAATTGAGAATGTATTCAAAACAAGTGCTTCCTATACCTCGGGAATGCCATCTCTCTCACCTAACTTACAGAAGTTATGTGTAATCCAGAGGTTTGTACCAGAATTCCCTACGTATGGGTCACTTACTGCCAAACAACTTGATGTGTGTTTCATTTATTGGTAGACAGCTACCCTGCAACATACATAGGAATATTGCCATTTGTGCTCCAGGAATTCAGCTGAGATGGATAGTAATATAGAGCAGGTCTGTCAAGTGCTGCTAGATCATACCTATGATGGGGGCAAGAGTGGGCAGAGACTAGAGCCAACTGTGAGGCAGTCTCAAGGGATGCCTCAGCCCACTGTGCTGAGAGCTCTGCAGAAGTTGGGGTGAGAGGCCAGGCCTTTATACTCCTGGGATAGTCAATCATTGGATACAGGCTATCCTGGGAAGGA